CATAGTTCCCATAGTTTAGAGTCCTAAGGGTCATGCACGATTTTGTCCATCAACAGTATGAAGGACCCTCTAGTATCTCACTGTTCGGACTTGAGGAGGGGGTCCGGGCTCAAGGTACTTGGAGGATCATGAGACTTAGTAAGTATGGTTTAGGGTTCCTTTTAAGGGCACTATAGGGTTCTATAATATGATTCCTTAAAGGGATCTGGAAGGGTTCTTTAATGGGAGGATCATGAGACTTCGTAAGTATGGTTATAAGTACCTGAACTGGGGTGGTAAGTATAAGTACAGTTGCCCTAGTAATACCCCTAGTTACTACATAAGCCCATGATGCTCCAAGTAGTGCGACCGTCCGGACATAGTTGAACGGTTGATGATATAAATCCTGCGTTACCCACAATGAGGAATATACCATAATTCCCATAGTGTAGCGTCCTTAAGGTAATGCCGGATCTATATCATCAACCGTAGTTCTACTGAAAACCGCTACATGCCACGGGTTGTGCAACAGTCTGGTCCTTGTGCAAGCTGGCAGAGGCTGCGAAAGGCTATGTTACGAGCGCATCTGGATGGGGGGGAGCAAACATGTGGACGCTAAGAAGGATCCGCGAGGCCCCAAAGCCTGAGGGCTTGTCCTCCAATCGCACGAAACCCGAAAGTTTAAGGCTTGGGGCTTCGGGTTTAGAGTTTGAGTTTAGGGTTTAGAGTTTAGGGTCCGGTTGCCGGATCCGGGGAAAAATCCGGGGAAAAATTGCAGCATTTTCGTGGGTCCTTCGGTGCGTCCGACCGGTTTCCCGCCACTGGATAGAGAGTGCTGCAACTGACTGGACGTCGTGACAAAATGTACAGTCATGCTCGGACGACCAGCGGGGGTCACCCACGGATCAGCTGTAAGCCCTTACGTATAGGTACGCTAATTGGGGTTATAAGCAATTACAAGTATAGTTACCTTAATAGTAAGTTAGATTCTTGTAGAACGGCATAAGAACCTTGTCAACCTACCACAAAGCAAACTCGACGACTCGAACCTCAAGCCCGGCTAAGCACGGGATGAATGTGACTTTTTACATGTTCATGGGTACTTAAACCCAATAAGGAACAACAGTGTAAGTTTTTATCATGGGTACTTAAACCCAATAAGGAATAACAATGTAAGTTTTTAATCCTATCTCAACAATGAACTAGTAGTCTGCTGAAGAACGCAGCTTGGGGCGTTTCCTCAAGGCTCTTACATTTCAGGCGCAAGCCTCAACTGGTGAAAGGGAGATGGAGACAAAAGCAACCACCAGAAGCCTAAACCCTAAACCCTAAGCCCTAAACCCCTAAACCCTACTTGGAGGGGCAGGGGACTTAGCAAGTAGGTTATAAGTAGAGTTATAAGTACCCTAAATGGAGTTACACCAATTATAACCCTAAAACCCTGACACCCCAAACCCTAAAACCCCCTGTGTCGTGCTGGCGGTCACGGGAGCACCTCCACATTTTCAGCTAGATTCTCCCACGAAGGAAGGGCAGATCGTGGAACTTTTTTAGGATCTATAGTTGGATGATCATAGGACTTAGTAAGTATGGTTATAAGTCCTTTAATTGGGGTTATAAGAGTAATTATAAGTATAGTTACCCCCATAATAACCCTAGTTATACTAAGTCCCATGACCCTGTAAGTAGCCAGGGTTTAGGGTTTAGGCGGCCGTTAGGGGTTCAGGGTTTAGGGTTTGGGGCTTAGGGTTTAGGGTTTAGGGGTCTAGGGTTCAGGGTTTGCTTATGGTTCGGGTTTAGTGCAAATGTGTTTCTTCACCTTCATAGTAACTTAAGCACCTTGAGCTACTGGGAAAGTATATCCTCTGCTTTGGATGCTTCCTCGAAGCCCCATATGGCCCCGTCAAACCCCGCAAGTCCCGTAAACTCACAGGCTTTAGGGTTAGGATTCTGCCCGTCAGCAGCATGACTACATTGGATCTAGGCATGGATGATCCCCAAAACCCTAAACCCTAAACCATAAACCCTACCCTAAGGCTCCTGGACCCTGGTAGTGAGATCCCAAACCTTAGCCCCCAAAGCCCTTACCCTCCCTCAGAAAGCCCCTAACCCTCTTAAGAGCCTTAGAAACCCTAAGCCCTAACCCCTAAACCCTAACCCCTAACCCCTAAACTAACCCTCTTAAGCGCCTTAGAAACCCTAAGCCCTAACCCCTAAACCCTAACCCCTAACCCCTAAACTAACCCTCTTAAGAGCCTTAGAAACCCTAAGCCCTAACCCCTAAACCCTAACCCCTAACCCCTAAACTAACCCTCTTAAGCGCCTTAGAAACCCTAAGCCCTAACCCCTAAACCCTAACCCCTAACCCCTAAACTAACCCTCTTAAGAGCCTTAGAAACCCTAAGCCCTAACCCCTAAACCCTAACCCCTAACCCCTAAACTAACCCTCTTAAGAGCCTTAGAAACCCTAAGCCCTAACCCCTAACCCCTAACCCCTAAACTAACCCTCTTAAGAGCCTTAGAAACCCTAAGCCCTAACCCCTAAACCCTAAACCCTAAACCCTAAACCCTAAACCCAAAAGCCTAAACCCTAAACCCTAACCCCTAAACCCTAAACCCTAAACCGTGAGCAAGCAGGGTTTAGGGTGGAGGCTTCGGGTTGCTGGGAGGATCCGTGGTCGGCAGGGCTAAGGGTTGGGGTTCTACCTACCCAGAGAGCCCAATACCCCGTAACATTAAGGAACATGCCTAGGGTTCCTTTTAAAGGGGATCTATAGGGTTTTGGGGTTCAAATACCCCTTAATTAAGGAATATGTCTTAAATTATATAGGGCTTCATACTATGATTTAAGCTATATCCCTCATTTAAGGGGTATTGGGCTCTCTGGGTATCCTGTTTGGCTTACGTATCCTGCTTGTAGCCACACCACGGTTTAGGGGTTTAGGGTTTAGGGTTTAAGGCCATGTAGCCATACCCCAAACTTTAAACCCTAAACCGTTTCAGGAAGTATGTAGAGAAGCCTTCGCAGGACCGACGAAAATTTTAGGTTTTCAATTTCGGCTGCAGGTAGCCTAAACCCACAACTCCTTAACCCTAAACCCCAAAGGGCCATCCCAGACTCCTTCATGGGGCGATGCAAGACAGGCGAGCCAGGGGACTCCAAAACACTTTGATTAAGGAATAGACCTTAAATCACTTAGAGAGGGGTGCCGCTTGCACTGTAAGGGGTCTAGGTTGAATTCGGGGCATTACCCTATAACTGCCATATTCGGGCGCCTTTTATACTTTAAGGGGTTAGTCCTTAATCAGGCGGTTTTGGAGTCCCTGGGAGTAGGTGAGGAGCTCTCCACAGGGAGACATAAGCGCTCCTCGGCAGTGCTGGTCAAAGTTTGGCTCTCGCCCCGGAAGACCAGAATCAGGAGTTCCATTAGGGTTTAGGGTTTCGGGGTTCTTGTTTCGTTTGCTGTAGTTTCATTAATGACGGATCTGAGTGAGCCCTCTGGCGTTTGGGCAGGGTGGGTAGGGCTCCCAAGTGTGGGAACCAGTATGACGGGATTACTCTTCGTGGTTTACGCTAAACCCTATACCGTTTAGGTGATGGCAAGCCGCTTCCCCGAACTCAAGCCTGAACCATAAGCCGGCAATCCCTAAACCCAGAACCCCAAGCACTGTCGGAGTTATTGCAGGGGTCTGGCAGCAATGAATTGTATCACCTGGCCCCTGTATATTTATACTATGACGGACCCAAAACCCTCTTCTACTAGGACCCAGAGTAGGCCCTTATTCCCTTTTTTAGGGTTCAGGTTCCCTTATAAACCCCTTTAAACCAAAAAGGGCACCCTTCTTATTCCTAGGTTACTCTTGGGTCTAGTCTAGTTCTCCTTCAGGCGCCTGTGCTAAGCATCCATAGTGACTGTTTTAGTAGGCTCTGAAGGCCTTCAACCATGACCAAGGCCTCTCTACTTGACCCCTAAACCCTAAGCCCTCAAAGGAACCCTAAAGCCTAAGCCCTAAGCCCTAACCCAGGGTCCGAAATCTTGAATACTTTTGCGCCCGCCGCTAAGTCTTAAATCCCAGACCGACCCAACAGCCTCAGCCTGAACGGAGCGAGCCGGACTTTGTCAAGTACTCTGTTGCAGATCCGCTGCATTGGGTGATATGGGTTTGGATTGAAGGGTTCTGCGTGTCAGTACATCTGCATCTGTGATGGCAGCAATCGTGGTCGTATGATGAAATCAACTCTTCGCGAGACCTGCAGCAATTTTTGAACCTTGGGCATACTCGGAGGTTCATGGGTAGTTGTAAGCCTACATTCGGGGACTCGTAACCCTACTTGCAACTACCCATGCACTTCCAAGTACACCTGAGAATGTTCACAATCGTCATTCTGAGAAGCTGGGTCCGTGACGAACTTAGCAGTAGCAGTTGCAGTAGCAAGGGCAAGGCTAAGCCCAAGAGACTTCTTGCGTCAGGGTTTAGGGTTTAGTGGTTTAGGGTTTAGGGTTTACCGTCGTCCTCGTTGTCCTCTTCTGGCCTCGTCTTCGCTGTCGTCGCATGCATGTAGTCACCTTTCTTAACGTCGTTGTTGTTGTTGCTGTTTTCTTCTTCTTCTTCCTACTTGTTCTTGTTCTTGTTCTTGTTGCTGCTGGTGCTGCCCTGCGGTTGGTTTTTCGAATAGTGCTTCCTACTGCAGTTTTCGAAGACGTCAGATGGAATGTCTAGGGCCAGTGCAGACATGCAGGGATCTGCAAGGTTGGCAATCATCTCGCAAGCGGATAATCTGCCACAACAGGTTTTCCTCTGCATGCGAACACGGCAGGGAAAACAGTCGTGCACTGCACCTGGCCCTTTGAAAGCCGAACCCTAGACCCTAACCCCAAAACCTTAAAGCCCAGAATCGTAAGGTCACAGTCGCTCTGTGCCGCCATACATGACGTGGCGCCTTAGCACTTGAATTGAAATGAGGTGGGTCCACACAGATGATGTGCACAGAGGGAAAGGTTTCTTTTCCGGTCGCGCAGATGACTGGGGTCCCTAATCCCTAATGCACCCCTGCTCCGTTCCTTTGAGTATGTGCTAAACCCTAAACCATAAAGCCCAAACGTTAGCTCAATGCTAAATGCGGAACCCCACAGCCCTAAGCCCTTAGCCCTAAACCCAAGTCAACCTGACTCCCGATCGATAAACAGCCCTTTCTGTATAACAACCCGTTAAATGCGGGAGAGTGTTTATCATTCAGGTTGATACCAAAGGTTGCTGTTGTCGCAGGCATTGTGTCCCGCGCATCTGTATCAAGCCCGAGGAGCATGCTAGTAGGAGCGTTCAGCAGCAATGACAAGAGCGACGGCGATAAAGGCTTTTGAACGTGAGGATGGTAAGAATAAGGGGCATTGTGGTACTACTGTCGTGAGTAAGCACAAACTCCCAACAGCAAGCACGAGCCACCAACAAAAGGCACCCGAGAAGTGCTGACACTGCCAATCGAGGACCGAAACCTCTCACCCCAAACTCTAAACCCCTTGAGCATTCAAAGCCTCAGCGCTGGGTTTAGGGATTCGGGGCATAAGAGTGTGTGTGTTTTTTTAGCCGAAATCCAAAAATCTCGGGGTTTGCCGGGGCCCTTTGTCCCCTCTTCGCACTTCCTCTCGCGGAAAGCGATGCCCAATCTTGGGTCGGCAGCTGAGAGACCCAGAGAGCCCAATACGCCTTAAATGAGGAATATAGCTTAAATCATGATATGAAGCCCTATATAATTTAAGCCATATTCCTTAATGAAGGGGTATTGGGCTCTTTGGGGACATCTCCAGTTTGCATCATGTTGGGGCTTGGGGTTTAGGGTTAGAGGTTTGGGGTTTAGGGTTGAGGGTTCAGGGTCTAGGGTTTAGGGTTTGCCGTTGAATAGCGTGCAAGCAGATTTATCTTGCGACAAGGCAATTTCGAGTTCTTCGTAACATGACGATTGTCCGTTAAAGCCTGATTGTGGATGGCTCTTTCTTCTAACTCTCCCACCCCACGCCGTCTAAGGCGGCCAAGCCACCCAAACCTATTCCTTTTAGGGTTTAGGTCTAAACTCATTCGGTTGGAATTTTATTGCTCTATGTGCCAAGACGAAGGCTCGGGCAAAGGCTAAAGCCAAGGCTGCCGAGAAGGCAAAGGAGTGGGCGGAGGCGGCAGCGGTGGCAGCAGCCGCGAAAGCCGAGAAACGGCAGCGGCGAAAAGAAAAGAAGGCACGAGAGGAGGCCAGGTGACAGAAGAGAATCAATATGGGACCTTTGCGTGTGACTACATGAGCCAGGCGCGCAAGCGCAAAGAAAAGGCGGGAAAGTCCGGTATCAGATAATCGAATAGTAAGGAATCCCGCGCAAGGACCGCCGCAAACGTGCCAACACGAAGGAGAAGCGGAACGCCCTGCGCGAGGCGGGCTTACATTAGACGTTGATTCGAACAGAGGCGATATGATGTGAGAGGACCCAGACAGAGCCTGGGAGCTCCTGGCGGAGAGAGCCCGCGAGGCAGAGCGCAAAGCAGAAGCTCGCTTCGTGAAAAGTGGCGGGCTGAAGTGATGAGACTGAGGAATGTAAAGGACGAACCTGTCAGCCAGAGCGCTAGTCGAGGTTACGGCCTCACGCGCGCGGACGGGCGCAAGAAAGCCACGGACGACCCCTACCAAGCGGAGTCGGACGCGGAGGCAGCGTCCGCGCCAAAAAGAAGGCCTGCCGGCAGAACTGCTTTGCCGAGGTAGGCGACAGCGACAGCTCCTTGCCGAGTGACGCGGAGCTCGCACTCGCACTGACCGCAAAAGCCTGCGACGAGGCGACTAGTGGAGGAGCTCGTTCCACGTAAATTCACTTCTGTGCCAACCCAGGACGTGCAAGTGGTGCGTAGCAGGGCCGGTGGAACGCTCAGCCTGAGGCAGACTAGGAGCAAGAAAGGGACCGCGACCGAAGGCGGAGTCGCCACTCGTTGCCAGCATCGGGACGAAGTGCTGGGACGATGCTGGGAAGAACTTTGGGCCTGTTGTGTCGGGCCCCAAAGAGGAGTCATGAAGCAGCCACTAGGAGTGCTGAATCCAGAGGCAGTCTGTGGCGCCGAGTTGTGCCATGTGCACTTCGGCGAGAGTCGCTGCCACGAGCACAACCAGGCCTCCCGTGTGACAGCCTCTGTTGTTGGCCAGAAGTCTGCAGCAGGCTGCCGTGTGCCCTTGTGCAGCGTGTCGAAAGGCACACAAGGCAAGAGAGAGAGAGAGAGAGAGAGAGAGAGAGAGAGAGAGAGAGAGAGCGAGCGAGCGAGCGAGCGAGAGAGACAGAGACAGAAACCCCGACAGGACGTGCCGCCGCGCCCGTTCCACGGCTGAGCGTCTCCCCGCTGGCACGCCCAAGGCGGCCGCGGTGTCTCACCCCTCTCGCTTCCAAGAGGTGGAGAGGGCCCCTGCCGACGTCGCCCCGGGTCGAAGCGAAGAGGGCGACAGTAGTTTCAAGTAAAGTGAGAAGACATAGATGGAAACCAAGTCTTTGAAGAGCTTGTTACCGCAGCAAGAGACAGGGCAGCGAAGGGCCAGGGCCAGCGCGGCCAGCCAGGGGGGTGTGGGGGGCCTGGGGGGTGGGGTTTAGGGTAATTACTTTATTAGGGACCAGTCGGTGCTACTGTTCCCATGGCTGTGGAAAGGCGGGCAAGCGTATTGGGACGCTCTGCGCGGGGCTTAAGCGCCGCCCACCCACGGAGGTGGGCGGCCTAGACCTTGAGTTTAGGGTTAGAGGTTTGGGGTTTGGGGTTTAGGGTTGAGGGTTCAGGGTCTAGGGTTTCGGGTTTAGGGTTAGAGGCCGCCACCGCACACTTTTTTGTCCAAGTTCGCAGTACAGTAGAGGGCAGGTTTCGGCTGTTTGATTGGATCGGGTCGCACCCCTTGTACTCTTAAAATGCGATAACCCTGAAACCCTGAAACCTAAACCCCTATCCGTTAAGATGCCAAAACCTTAACCCCTGCACCTGAAACCCCAAACCCCTAATCCTCAAAGTTCCAAAGCCCGAAAACCCTGAACCCCCAAAGCAAAAATCCCCCAAATCCACGATATAGTATAGTATGTTTTCATATGGGTGGTTGTCAAAATTAGGGTCCCTTTTTGGGTCCCTCTGAAAACGCGGCACCTAGTATTTAGGGTACCCAAAAAGGGACCCTAATCTTGACAGCCACCCATATATAACCAAGCTCCCACCCCGAAAGAAGCTCCCAAACGATCGGTCTCAGGTCATATGCGCGCCAGGAGCTTAGGGGGTTTTCGGGTTTACGGTTTAGGGTTGGCACCCAGCGACTCCCAAACCCGTTAGTTCAAGAATACACCTGAAATCTTGCTGGGGTTCCTTGCTACTTAAAGGTTCATGGGACTTAGTAACTAGGGTTGTTATTGGGGTATCTATACTTATAACTACTTATAATCCCAATTAAGGGGCTTATAATCATAGCTACAAAGTCCCATGATCCTCCAAATATAATTTAAGATATGGTCCCTAACTAAGGATTTTGGAGTTTCTCGGCATCCCTGATGCATGGGTTTTATGGTTATGGGTCTTTTGGGATTCGTGGCAATAAACCCAAACCCCTAACAAAACGAGGTTTAGCGGGCCTGGAGTTTGTCCATAGGTTTTTTTCCTATGGTTCCCTGCGCTTTTTCAAGGTTTCGAAGGTGTTTTCTTTCAAGGTTCTACCAGGACACCCCAAGACCCCTCAGATCGAGTTCTCATGGCCCTTAATAGTGGATACATCGGGAATAATAGAGGGTAGTTGGGGGGTCTAGGTATCAGGGTTTCTTTGAGGGTTTCGGGTTTACTGGCGTTTAGGGTTTCATACCCCAGGGTTTTGGAAACCAAGGGGTTTTGGGTTTCGGATTGTGGGTCGAGAGTTTGCGGATTTCTACGTGAATGTGCGGTTTTGAAAAATCAGTAACAATGTTAGTGCACCCATATGATAGTACGAAAGTAGAAATACAGCGTGGTTTACTGCAGCACATCATTCTAAGTACGAGGATGGTTAAAGCCCTACTAAATTCCTTATACAACCTTTTTGGAAGCTATGTAAAGGCCCCCTCCAAGGCCAAAACCGTAAACTCTAAGCCTAAACTCAACAGCATGCCGTAAACCCTAAGCCGTAAAAATCTAAACTAACATAACAACAGCCCTAAACCTTAAAATGTAAAAACCTAAGCTGAAAACCATGAACCTTGGGTACGGACCCGACTCAGTAATAGTTGAATAATATTCATAATACAGATATATAAGGACCTTAACAGTAGCAGTATTATACTTATATAGACTCTTAGGGTAGGGAGGGGCAGTACCTAAGGTAAATCTTAATAGACTCAAAGGGGAAAAGGATGGACCCTTAATGGGGACCCCTACCCTATAATGGGCTATATAATGGGTATATAATGGCTATAATAAGGGTATATACGTAGGGGTCCTTAGTAAGGGTCTTTCCTTTTACCCTTGGATAGACTGTTACACAGACAGTCCGGGCATTTCGGGGTCAAGGGGCTCGGCGGGCTTTGGAACTTCGAGTCGGAAACCGACGGGCAAGCAACTTTTCAGGGTTTAGGGTTGAGGGTTTAAGGTTCAGGGTTTAGGGTTTAGGGCATCTGAGGGTTTAGGTAGGGTTTGAAGTTTTGCTTGTGTCAGGGCTTGAGGGTTTTGTTTTGGGGTTTGAGAGTTTTGGGATTAGGGTCTGGGGTTTGAGAGGTATGGGTTTGGGTGAAAGGCACCCTTAATCTCAAACTCCCACGTAGTAGTGACGCTGGTTCCATGAGCAGACGCAAGCAATGCACTTTCGCGAATCAGTTAAGCAGGAGTTTTTGACTGCGCAAGGAAAAGCGCCTAGGATCGAGATTCACTCGTGTGACCGTCGAGGGCCTACACTTTAGCGGGAACTCGGAAACATCACTTTGCTCGTAGCAGCGACTGTGACGCTGGACACCCCGGACTACTCATTTGGGTGGAAGGGGACGACTTTTTCATCCCAGAGAGCCCAATACCCCCTAAATAAGGAATATAGCTTAACTCATAATATGAAGCCCTGTATAATTTAAGCCATATTCCTTAATTAAAGGGTATTGGGCTCTCTGGGATCATGATCCCTGATCTGCAAACTCAGGAAGTCGCACAGAGGTTGCGAAACTTCTACAATCTGATGGGTCTTGGAGGTGACATTGAGCTGTAGTACCCCGGGGGGTCGAAATGGCCCAAAAGCCTGACATGGTATGGTCTTTGGGCCCAAAAGCCTCAATGTATGAGTCCTTAGATCCCTAAACCATATAGATCCTTTGAAAGGATGAATCCTGAGAGCCCTAGAAGGTAGACTATGCTCTAAAAGCGGCTAATTCTACTTGTTCAGTCCGTTCTGTTAAAATTACCAACACTATTTTGGGGGGTTCCTTTAGGGGTTTAGGGTTTACTGTAGGGGCCTGAAGAATTAGCTCCTTATTGCCATTATGGTGTAATGGGCCCCCCCCAAGACCCTATTCTAATGATTACGGCCCTATAGTACAGCCACCGCCGAGACGTTGATAACAGGAGGCACCGGCGAGGTCAAGCTGTTTTGGCAAGTTTAACAGAACTCCTGAAAAACAAGTATTTGAAACTCTGAGCCTAACCCAGCCAGAAGCAAAGCATACAACAATCAGAAACAGTACGTATTCCTTAGCTTCAGAAGTCCTTGATTTTGATGTTTTGTAGTCCTCATCAAATACCCTGTGTTTTGAACCTCGCGATGTGAGGTTCCGAGCCAGCTCACCTGGATGTCGATTGCAAGGCCATTGTCAAGCAGAGAGAAGAGTTGTTTAGGATTTCAGGTTCAGGTTTTAGGGTTCAATGTGCATGGTCTTGGGTATCGAGTTGAACTGTTTACCCTAAAGTGTTTACTGTAAGCCCTAAACCCTAAACCCCACACCCCAAACCAGACGAGGTGTAACTTGGGGCCCAATTAGCGAATAGTGGGATACTTGTAGTCCGTGTATATTCATACGAGAATAGGCCTCACAACTTCCTTCTGACTCTTAAGGTCCCGACATTGTAATAGCTCGTATAGTAGCCCTTATAGACTTTAAAGGAACTCTCTGCGAATCTTTATTTATGGTCCCTTGGGTACGTTTTTAGCGAAGTTATCCGTTGCCCGGTTGCCTATGAAAAGGCACTTCGGGTATACTGCTCTTATGAATCGTGCTTTACTGTCTTACAATATAACTTACGGGGATGAACCAGAACATCATTTTTTTATGTTGGTTCTACGGGCGGCTAAGTTTAGGGTAACCCTGGTGCAGATTTCGTATCGGATGCTGTTGTAGAGTTGTCTGCTTGCGAGCCAAAAGCTGTAAACCGCAGCTTTTATGAGCCTAAACCCTGAACCCTAAACCCTAAGCCTTAAACCGCCAACACACCCCCCCGAAACCAGAAACCCTTGGTTTGCACCAACAAGAAGGCTCATCTGGTTCAAGTTTTTTGGGAAGCAACAGGGCCGATTCCTAAACCCGAATGGACATTACCAGTCGCCATCGATTACAATCCGTGGCAAGAGCACAGCGGAGTACCTCTTGGTGGACAGCTCCGAGACGCGCGTGCGCTACCAGTGCAACCTTGGCACGGGCATGATTAGTTTTAACAGGAAAGACATTAACAGCATGCGGTATCGCCAGAAGGTTCGTGCCGAGCACGAACACTGGAAACGGCGCACAGCCGCAGCTGCCGCAGGCGCAGGCGCCGGCTAACAATAGCACCGCAGCCTTCCGAAGACCGGGCCCCGGACCCCGGAGAGAGCGGCAAGCAACCGAGGTGCTGCGGGCTCGGTATATTGTCATTGGATGGGCGGTCGCGCGTCTTAACAAGTGGCGACGCTAATACAGTGCGGGCTCTGCCTAGTGTAATTGGAGGTGATATCGGTCAGCCAAAAACCCCTTGCAGCCCTGTGATAGGTCCCAGGCCCTCAACGCAGCCCGAGTGAGTAGGGTGCGTGGATGTCCGGGAATCTGTGGTTTCGTGTCCGGGGTTTTGTCCGGGGGCAGTCCAGGCCGTCCGGGCTGTCTCTTTCCGAGTCTGTCCGGGGCACGGTTATTTTTTTGGTCCAGCCCGGGCTGTCAGGGTTGTCTCTGTCCGAGTCAGTCCGGGCTCATCTCCTAATGAAGGAAAAGCTGGAACTGGAGTTGAAAAAACTGCCGGGTTGCAAAGTGACTGTTACTTCAAACGACACTTCAAGACAGGAATGTACTACAAGTCAGAGCCAGTAGTGAAGTTCATAATATGGGTGCCTTACTTGTTAGAATAGGGGCATAGATAAATTCAGATAAATAATGTTCACTTCATATTAAGAAAGGGCCCCCCCCCGCAAGGATGGGAGCTTCAGCCTCCGTAATAAGAGTCCGGGTCCAGCATGAGAGCAGAGTTCAGAAGCCAGACGTGTCAGAGCCCTGCTTGCAGCCCCTGGAGAATCCCCAACAGTCCCAAAGCCTTTTCAGCTCCTGTAGATTCTGCTTACAGTTTTTTCCGCTTAGGCCGATTGGATTCTGCAAATACGGGGGGGTTTCTAATTACGTTCTGGAATCGGATTTTGCAATTACGCGGGGGATTCTAAATATGAGGTTAACATTAACTACATATACTACTTTGGGGTTCCTTATTATAATTACAGTATAATCGGCCCCAAAACCCTATAGTACAAGAATTTCAAGACAGCAGCAAGAAGCCCATCGAGATTCTAAAGGGTTCTTCCTTGGAAGCTACAGCCCTCCCTTTCTAGCCTTTCTGGCAACCGTAGCTGCGTGTTTTTAGATATGCTAAAAGGATCATGGGACTAGGTAACTCGGATTATTACTCGGGTAACTATACGTATAATCGTTTATATCCCCAATTGAGGTACTTATCCCCATAATTACTTACTAAGTCTCATGAACCTCCAAGTGTTAGTGCTCCTACCGACCCGAAGTGCTACCTACCCCCTAAGCCCTAAACCCTAAAAACCCTAAACCCTAAAAACCTACACCCTGAACCCTACTTACTACCTGAACCCCACGTGACCTACCTTTTTAGGGACTTATATAAGGAAATCATAATAGGGGGGCCCTAAAAAGGTAGGTTCCGTAGGGTCCAGGTAAGCCCTAAACCCTAAGCCCTAAACCCCAAAAACCCTAAACCCTAAAACCTACACCCTGAACCCTACTTACTAAGCCCTCAACCCAACACCCTCGTTCCTAAGCTGCGGAGGAAGCACTTCAGCAGCTCCTCCGCCCGAGGTTTCGACTCCTTCCTGGGAAGATCATGTCCTTAAAGGGATCCTTAAAGGGATCCTTAAAGGGTTCCTTAAAGGGTTCCTTAAAGGGTTCCATAAAGGGGTTCCTGAAAGGGATCCTTAAAGGGACCTATAAGGGTTCTATAATGGGAGGATCATGGCACTTAGTAAGTCTGGCTATAAGTGCCTTGACTGGGGTTATCAGTATAAGTTACCAGAGTCCGATGATCCTTTAAGTATTGCCAACGATACTGTTGCTACAAGTGTTGCCATGAGGGTCTACCGCAACGGCTAGCATAAGGGTTATAAGGCAGGAGTGCGCCTTGTGGCCTGCACCCTCAAACCTTAAACGCCGCACACCCCAAAGTTCCTTAGCCCACCTTGGGCCGCGGTTTCTCCGCGCCGTAGAGGTGCGGGGGTGGCTTTTGGGAAAGTGTTTGCCTTGCCTCCATAAGGAAGCTGTAAACCCCGACCCATCAAGAACCCAAATGAATGCTGCTTCATGGAATCAGGCGTGTCTAATTCTGGAGATCGTTTCGGTTATGATGCGGTTTTGGGGTCCATGTAAGACCACTATTCACTATGCCCCCTGTGAAGTTCTGCCTCCGGAGCCGTATGCCTCAGACCCTCAATCCATGCAGAGTTCTGAATTAAGGAGCATCCCTAAACCTATGATACTCGTAGGAACCCTAGATCTTACGTAAACTGCTGATTTACAGCCTGATTTAAGGGGTTTTGGGTCTCTGGGCACCCTGGAGATCGCATGCAAGTCTTGCGAGCCTGGCCCGAAGGAGTATACCTACATAGTTTCCCCGCCGCGCGAAGTAGCATACAAACTAGTGAGGGTTTAGGGTTTAGCAAGAATGTAATGGTGCTGTTACTGAAGGGTTTTTTGTTTTACTTACGCCAAGGTACAAGCTCTGTTGGAATTCTTTTTGCAGCACGCAGCACACTCCACAACTTCACGCTAGGATAGCTAAGTGCGAGATCAGTATTCCGTTCATTAACACACACCTGGAGCTTTACAGGGATCGTGCGGCAACGTCGGCTTGGCGCATTGATCGGTGAAGGAAATCCAGACAGCGCAGGAATGTCTCAGTTTTCGCACACCCCGCCCCCGTCGAAGAAGGGCGGCGGTAGCTTGAACACGAGCTGGATGCTCGCGCCGGCCTTGGGGGATGGGCCTTCCTGAGTAATGTAGGAACCTGATTAAGAAACCCTGGTCCTATAACCCCAAAATAGTAGGTTTCATAATATAAGGAACCCTAATAAAGGCCCAAGGTTTCTTAATCAGGTTCCCACATTATTGATGTCCCAAATGTGCAACAGTTGTTGGCGATGCGAGGACGGGGAGTGCGTGAGGCTAGGGCTGGGGGAGGGGCGTCAGAAGCCCGGCCAGAGAGGGCGTGTGCGGTTTAGGGTGTAGGGTTTAGGACACGATTGAAACAGGGTCTAAAGTTGGGACCTATCTCAAATATGATCCGTTGATGCGTTGCTTGGCAATTGACCGCTATGTGGGAGTTTCCGAAAATGGGGGTATCTCATTTCGGGACCCTTCTAACAAGGATCCTACTTTTTAATGCACTATATGAGGGTCCCCTATTTCCGGAAAGTCGCATGTACCAGGCGCTGAAACGACCTTTGAGATACTTGGAGGATCATGGGACTTAGTAAGTATGGCTATAAGTACCTTAATTGGGGTTATAAGTAATTTATAAGTATGCTTACCATAATAATAACCCTAGTTACTAAGTCCCATGATCCCTTAAGTAGATCCTAAACCCGCCTTATATAGAACCCCTACGGACCCCTTTAAAGGAGCCCTAGTTACTAAGTCCCATGATCCTTTGAGATGGAGGAGACCATTGGTCTAGTAATAGAAGGAATAAACATCTACGGATGGCGAAATCACCCGCTGGATGAAGTTTCGGGGGCTGAGGGTTCAGGGTTTTTTTCTAAGGAATATCCCTTAAATCATATTAAGGATCCTGATACGTTTTAAAGTATATTCCTTGAGTTGTGGATTTGGGAAGGTCTGGGATTTAAGGTCAAGGCCTCAGGGCTCGAGGTTTGGAGTTTAGGTCCCTTCCTTGGCATTTGAGGGGGTTGGGGGTAGGTTGCGGATAGGTGGGGGATACTTAAAGGATCATGGGAATTAGTAGCTAGGCTTGCTATTAGGTTAACTATACTGATAACTGCTTATATCCGCAATTAGGTACTTATACCCATACCTACTGAGTCCCATGATCCTCCAAGTAATGATGTTCCAACTTTCCTGCTTGCGCTGCAACAGCTTTGGGTTCCGGTTCCAAGGTTTATACTGATCCCTAAGCCCTTAAACCCTACTTAAACCCTAACACTAACCCCCTGAACCCCTAAACCCCTAAAGCCTTGAAGCCCTAAACCCCTAAACCCTCATGCCGTAAACCCCTAAACCCTAAACCCTAAACCCTAAACCCTAAACCCCTAAACCCTCAACCCGAGGTTCAACGTTGTGGGTCTCAGCTTAAGCGCCTCCCCTCTCACAGTTACTACGGCGTGATCGCGCCTTGGATGGAGACGGCGCATGGCGCTCAGTTTTTACCCTCAAGTGGGTTTAGGGGTTTAGGGTTTAGGGTTAGCCCTAAACTCTGAACCCCATGCAAACCCTCAACTTCAATTCGCCCTGAGATTTGAAGCTTGTGATGTTGGACCCTGAAGTGAGGTGGTCAAGTAATCGCAGGGGTCAGACCAAGTTTGAAGCTTTGCATCCTGGAAATTTGGGACCTCTGCGTGCCCCAACTCACGAAATTAAACTCCTGAACACCTAAACCTCTATAGCACCCTAACCCTAAACTTAGATAGTGAACGAGGAAACTTTGAATTTTTTGGCCTTATATACTAGCTCTATCGTAGAAAGTTTGAACTTTTAGGGGCCATGCTGTTGAAGAAGAGAGTAAATTATGGTAACTTAAGGTCAACCCCTTGACGCATCCGAAGCCAAACTCTGCTCACGAGCTTTCGGGTTTAGGGTATATGGGGGCGGTAGCCCTGAAACTCAAAGGGCAAAAGGAGGGGCCCTTAATAAGGACCCCCAGGTATAATACCCTTGAGAAACTCGAAACCTTCAACGCCCAAAGCTAGGGCCCAAGGGCTATTGAAAGGCACGAAGCCGAATTTGGAGATCACCCAAAACCTTGAGCCCTAAAGCCTTGCACCTTAAACCCTGAACCCTAAACCCCAAAACCTTAAACTTAAACTCTAAAGCCTTACATCTAAAGTCGTAAGAGTTCAGGGTCCTAGCCCATCCCTGTTGTGAGGTCGAGCCGGATGAAACGTGACATGGTGCTTCTGGGCCGCGTGGTCAAAGGCCAGGTTCTTTAGGGTTTCAGGCACGATTCTTATACCTACTTGGAGGGGCAGGGGACTAAGTAGAGTTAAAAGTACCTTAAAAAGTACCCTAAATGGAGTTACCCCAATTATAACCCTACTTATAATCCTACTTACTAAGTCCCCTGCCCCTCGAAGTAGACCCCCCAACTACCCTCTAATACACCGTTAGCCCAGGGTTTCTTAATCAGGTTCCTACATTAGTAGAAGCCCATTACAGGTGGGTAGTTCCTCTTCCATAGTACTCCCATAAGACCCCTTTACCTTATAGGAGTGGTATGGGAGGCTTATGGGAAACTACCCACCTAATGACTACCCACCTGTAAATGGCTTAGAATTAGGGTTTGTCGGTTTGTCCTTGTGCCCTGGTTGGGGCTCAAGCCGTACTTAGTAACTAGGGTTCCTTTAAAGGGCTCCTTAAAAAAGGGATCTATAGGGCTTCTATAAGGGGGTTTTTTAGGGTCTACTCAAAGGATCATGGGACTTAGTAACTAGGGGCATTATTGGGGTAACTATACTTATAGTTACTTATGACCTCAATTCGAGCACTTTTACCATACTTACTAAGTCCCATGATCCTCCAAGTAGGGTCAGTAGGGTCCTTAATAATTAGAATAGGGTTCCTTTAAATTCGAGGTCCAGAAGGGTTACTATAAGGGATCTATAAGGGTACTATGATATGGTGTCCTAAAATGACTAGACCATGCTTCGGGGACACTATAGTCATATTGCAACTCGAATAGGAACTGAAAGGACGTGCAGGCAATTATGTAAGGTTGTATACTTTAAATTCCAGCCCCGACAGCTTTAAACCCGAAACCCTTAGCCGTTCCCACGCCTCGTGCAGAAACGGACCATCCGGGGAAGAACCCTCATCTGCTGGCAACCGTGGTGCAATTAGATGGTAGGGTTTGCTGGAGTTGAGGGTTTAGGCTTTGGGTTTTGAGGTTTAGGGTTCAGGGCCGTTTGGGGTTCAGGGGTTTGGGATTTCCGGGGGCTCCGACAACTGGAACGCTTATCCCTGTATAGTCTCTATATATGCTTGTAGCATAATGCACCACCATTCTTTTTTGTTCTTAAGGCCCCTATATGCCCAAACCTTCAACCCTCAACCATCGACCCTGAACCCTAACACTAATTCAACTAATAAGGCCCCTAGATTACTCACTGGAGGTGGGGCCTTGTCTGTGCTGGTGCTTCGTGCTAGCTCCCAACAGACTCAGGGATCAACATAGGGCTTTAATCCCGAACCTCATCCCGGGTTTAGGGTCTCGGGCCCTAAGCATAGGCCCTATACCTCAACACTAAACTCCAAACCCCAAGCCCCTGAGCCTTCAATCTAAAAGCTACCCTAAGGCTCCTAAGAGGATCCTGGGATCTCTGGGGGAGGGTTTGGGCTTTGGGAGCTAAGGTTTGAGATAGCCGAAAAACCCTGCACCCCAAAAGCTGATGGAACGCTGCTCAAACCCTCGAGGGTCTAGGGTTTAGGGCTTAGAGTATGGAAGCGGGTCCATCCTGAATTTGGGTGTAAGGGCTTAGGCGATGGTCTAGGGTTCAGCGTTTTGGGTTGAGGGTTTAGGGCTGTGGGGTTTAGGGCCATCCTCCCATTCAGAAGGGATTCCCTTAAACTGTAATACAAGGAACCCTAAACCCTGAATCCCATTCAGAAGGGATTCCCCTAAACCGTAATACCTTGAGACGATGCTCCTGCAGCAATCTGAGATCGGCAGGTTTGCGGTTACTCTTCCGAAACCTTGAATCCTGAACTCTACTATAAGTGCCTCAATGATTATCTACACGATTTTGGGGGTTCCTTATCATATTTATAGTATAACAGGCTCCAAAACCCTATTCTGAATATTAAGGACCCTATTTTACACATTTGTTGCATCGACCGTTAGAGATCCATTTAAGGAAACCTTATAGACCCCGTTAAGGAACCCTTTTAGTCCCCTTTAAAGGAACCCCTAAACCCTAAGTCGTGGTCGAGCTGCTCTGTGAGCTTCTCACCCGAGGCGGCAAACCAGCCCGCAGCGTTGTTTAGGGCTTTAGGGCCTTAGGGTTTAGGGCTTTAGGCTTTAAGGGTTTTAGGGTTTAGGTTTAGGGCTTTAGGGTTTAGGGTTTAGGCTTTAGGGTTCTAGGGTTGAGGGTTTAGGGTTTAGGGTAAGGGTCTCTAAGAGGGCTATAAGTAGGTTAGGGCCAGGGCTACTGAGTAGCTGAGTAGGTAACCTTTACCCTTTTGGGGTTTATAACTAAGGGGTATTGGGCTCTCTGGGTAGAAGCCGAAATGATTGCCAGTATCATGCCTTGGGGCTCCTCTTTACTTAGTTAGCCAATGGGAAAGATTTGAACTTTTTGGCCTTGCATAGTGGCTCTAGCCTCTAAAGTTGGAACTTTTCTGCGCCCGGCTCTTGATTAAGTTGTACTACGCCCTAATTAACCCAAACTTTGAGTTTTTTGCCCAGTGTAAGTCTTCTCAAGAGCAGAGTGGGAGAGATTCCGTTACCACTAACAACAAGATCCTATGCACACAGGGTTTGGCAAGGTGCCCCTCGACTGCACGTCGAAGCTTTCGACATGCGGAATGTATTGGTATTTAACGAGCGTTGGTATTATTCTGGGCCTATATCAAGTGAACCAAACCCGAGAAGCTGGTTCTCCCGCCCAGGCAGACGTGGGCAAAATCCAGGCACGTTCCGTGTATTGCGACGCCCAAAATCTCCGCTTGGCTCGAAAGTCCCATCTGAAAGTTAGAACCTAAACAGTAATACTATCCCTTAAGGTGCTTGGTATACTGGGCCCCGAAACCCTATTGAAATTATTAAGGCTCCTATATCAAGAGGCTCGGGCCGGGTGAGCAGGTGTCTGAAATCGCTTCCTCCGAACCTTCCACCCTAAATCCCAAACAAGAGGAACTTAAACCGAAATCCCCAGCAGCCTAAACCCTAAACCAAAGCCCGAGCCAGGTGATCCAAAACCCAGCGGGGCGCCATCGCGAGGCGAATGTCTCGTGGCCCAGTTGGTCTTGGGAGGCGGAGTTCAGTTCGAGTTAAGCCGCAGGGTTTCGCCTACAGAGAGTTCGGTGCAGTGGGTGGTCTTGGGAAGTAATTTTGGGTACTATCAAGTACTATCATCCCTACATCATCCCAAAGGTTGGCCCTTTACTTCTTTTTCGGATACTCACTCGGCAAAACCTTCCGAAAAGCTACGCAAGTTGGAAGAAGGGGTTTATTCAGCCCTTCAGATCCAAGGTCTGTTTAAGGGCCCAGGGGACACTAGGAGGTGGGGACATAAGAGGGGTCATATGTCTCCTTAGTAGGGTTACCCTAAGCACATCCTGACTTATAGCCTAGCTTGCTAAGTCCCTAGGGTCTTAGTAGGATTTCAGCGATTCCAAGGAGGTTTTCGGCAGGTTCCGGACCTACATGAGGGTTGCAGCGCTCGAATTGTTCTCTAGATTGGGGCGCGAGGGTTTTGGATTGGGGGCTGAGGGCCTCAGGATTCAGGGTTTGGGATTTATAAGGGTTTGATAAATATGGAGGATAATTGGTCATGGTATTCCTTTGGCCTTGTTATCAGTAGTACACTATAATCGACTGGAGTCCCTATTCTGATCATTAAGTCCCTTACACTAGACCTCCTAAACCATGACAAAATCCACATACAAGTTGCCTTCACCGAAACTGCGTTTCTGCTGTGTGCGATGGCCGTTCAATTAAATGCACGGAACTCCCTATAAAACCTAGACCCCAAACCCAACTTTCTCTCCTCTTTGACTCGACCTTAACCTGCAAAACCCTACTTCTTTGTCATTAGGGTCGATAATAAGAAGCCACGAAAAAGTAGATGTCTCTGGGATCACTAACCGGGGTGGTTCTGCTGCTGTTTGAAGCTTGTGCTCTGAGAAGGAACACCAGACTGTGCAAGCAGTCATGTTCATGCGCATGCGAACAGTGTCGAATCCCTCGCGCAGGCCATGTTTTCCTAGCAAGCATCTGTGAAGTTTGGACTGTGTAGTCTTGGGCCTCGCCCCGCAGACTATCATGGTATGAAGAAGATGCCGCCGCAAAATCGCGCTACGCCTCGTTTTCGGTGTCTCTTGTTTTGTGTTTTGGTTTGGGTGAGGGGGGTGGGGCGGGGCTGATTCCGTCCAGAGCACAACTCTAAAGCCAGATACACCCCATCAGGCAGCATGCGTGATCCCTTTACTGGACTCTTGAAAGCCCACGGCGACTTGAAAGCCTAGTGGGTTTTCCGGAAGTTGGCTTTAAGGCTACGTGGAGCTTGGTTTGCAGGTTCTTCTGCTTCTCTCGAACATGTTCCCGTGCTACCCAGACTCCAGCTTGGACACGTCCTGCCAACAAACTTCACATACCATTTGCATGACACCATATGACGTCACATCGCATCACCTCACCTCACATAGTATCACATAGCATGGCATTAAGTAAATTCCAAATCATTTGGCAGCATGAAAACACACCTTCACAAAGTTGCCTGACTCTCAACATCAACGAAGCAAACCTTGAAAATAACGACAAAAAACACCCCAGGCAGTGATCCCGGGGGGTAAACCCTAAACCCTACACCCTAAGCCCTAACCCCTAAACCCGAATAGCCCTAAGCCCTAAACCATGTAAGGCCTAAACCCAGCGTTCTCTTGCTTCTAGACCACTTACATTCCCTAAACCCTAAACCCAATGGCTATGGCTCAAGCTTCTTTCGACTGAGGTCAACAGCCTCTATCATCTCTGGCAATCAAAGTGCCGGCATCAACTTAGAGGTCGTGAGAGACTCAGGCCTACCCACTCCCTGAACGATGACCGACATCCTCGACTTCTTGGTCGGAGATGGAATTGATCGGGCCAAGACCGAGAATGGGAGGTACAGGTTGGTTCAGACAGGCTCGGTGGAGGGACACATCCACGAGCAGTCAAAGCTGAGCATCTTTGAGGCCACGGCGGATGATCCTTCCACTCGGTACTACTCCCCGGCGGTGGACTTCCTGCGCTCGGCCGACACAGAGGGCCCTCTGGCAGACCAGATGATCGCATACCAGTGCGGCATCAGGCAAGGGTTCTTTGTGATGCTCAATCAGCTGAACCTCTTGGACCACGGAGCCACAATGGCTCAGCTCCAAGCGTTGGCTGCAGGGGATGGAGTTCCTGATGCTGCTGTGGTCTTGGCAGACATAGCAGCATGGAACGCGGCTAACCACCAGGCCCTGGATGGTGTGGTCCTTGTCGACTCACTGGAGGCCTGGCAGAACCGCACAGCCAGATGCCCAGCTCAGTACAGAAGCTTCCTGCCGACCTTCGAAGAGTACTGCCAAGCTGGCCAGCTGGTGCTGCCTACCTTCCGCCTCAGTGAAGTAGAGGTAGTCGGGCCTGACTGGCAGGTGCCCAATGAGCTGTCAGGCAGGTGGACGGACCAGCAGTCCCGAGAATTCTACATGAGAGGTCTCGCGGACATCGGGCCGATCCTTGAGGGGCTCGGTGCGCACAGGCTCAGAACCTGTGGTTCGGGAGGGGGCCATTCTTGGCTCACGAATCTCGATCACAACATCGCAGCCGCAGAAACCGAGGCTGCTCTCAAGGCGGCTCGATCTCCAACACGTCTGCAGCAAGTCACTGGAATGCTGCACGACTGCTTGCACCCTGTCCGCAACATGGAAGGGCTATACCTCATGTTTGTCCTTTCCCAGGAGGATGACGATGCAGAGGGTGACGAAGCTCATATGATGCAAGTCACTATACCTGAGGAGGCCAGAATGGACGCTGCCAACTTACAGACAGAAAGCCGTCGACACCTTCGCAGTCTACACCGTGCACTGGAGGACATACAGCAACATGGTGAAGGACCTGAGTACAGACGGGGTGTGCAGGCACTGGTGGAAGCCTGGGACGAAAGTCTTCAGACAGTCAGTGTCCTTCGTGACATCCTGGCGCGGCGCACGTCCACTTTGGGGTGTCAGCCATATTTTCCTGCCACGAGGGAACCAAGCTATGGACCTGTTCGCAGTCGCGTTGGGGCGTATATGCAGGAGTTTCGCTTCTTGCTTCTGCGGGCGTTGGCGGAGGAAGTGGCCCTGGGACTGCAAGAACGTCTTCGTGGTGGGTCTGGAGCTGCCAGTACTTCTGATGCCGCCATGGGGCGCTCTGTGGAGGCTGGGGCGATGGCAGCAGCGGTGATGCGAGGAGGACGCAACACTCGGTCCCGTCGTCCTCCGCGAGGCTCCCGCAGCCGGTCCCGCTCTTTGCAACGTCCCTCTGTACGTGAACCTCCTGGACTTCTACCACCCGGTCTGTCAGGCGACGATGGTGGAGTAGTTGTTGGTGGCGTGGATGTACCTCATGGTCGTCCCCTGGGTGATGCTGTGATCGGGGCTACTGCTGTTCCCGAACATCACCTGCGTCCTCCTGATGCTCTTCCTGTGGATGGTGGTCCTCTAGGCGAATGGGGTGCTCCTGGGGATGGTAGCGTGGTCGACTCGGTGGATGGTGCTGTTGCTCGTGCTGGTCCCGAAACTCATCTACGTCCTCTGCAAGCTCTTCCTGTCGCTGGTGGTCCTCTTGGTGAACGAGGTGCTCCTCGGGATGGTGCTGTGGACGTCTTGGTGGATGGTGCTGTTGCTGCGGCCTCTGTGGAGACTCTGGTGGAGGCTGTGTCTTCCTCGTCCTCGCTACCGATGCAGGCTGCTCCTTTGGTGGCTCGAACACTGGAGACGACGCCGTCGGTAACAACTGGTGGGGTGGGACATGATGTGGTTGGCCTGCATGGTGATGTTCTACCTGTACGTGCTGCTCTACATGCAGGTGATCCCTCCTGTGGTCCTTTGCCGGTGTCGGTTGGTGATGAGTCGGTGCCTGTCTCTCTGGTCACTGCAGTAAGTTCTGAAGTCCCCCTGGGGTCGGAGCAAGGGATGAATCCTCAGAGCACTGGGACAGCTGTTGCGTCTTTGTTTTCTCCTGAACCTGCTTCTGAGAGTGAAATGCATCCTCGGGGCGTTCAGTGAGTGGTTTATGTCTTTTCGTGCAAGCCTGTCAAAGGCAGGGTCATGGCAGCAGAGAGAAAGGCCCACTGCACTTAAAAAAACCCTACTTGGAGGGGGCAGGGGACTTAGTAAGTAGGGTTATAAGTAGGGTTATAATTAGGGTAACTCCTTTTGGGATACGTTGAACTCTACTTGTAACCATACTCACTAAGTCCCCTGCCCCTCTAAGTAACCCTCGGGGATGTACTTTTCTGGTGCGCGGAAGCAGAGGTCATACCGGTTACCGCGGACCGGATACAAGCCGACCTCTTGAGGAACAGGCGGCCGCCCTCAGATCTAGGGTTTGGGGTACCCGGACCCCCAATGACCCTTTGATGGAGCCCTAGTGGCCCTCAGTTGGGGGTCCAGGTGGAGTTTAGGATTTCGATTTTGGGGTTTATGGATGTGTAGGATGTAAGGTTTAGGGTCTGGGGTTTAGACTTTGGGGTTTAGGGATGTGTGGGACTTAGGGTTTAGGGTCTCGGGGGTTTCGGGCCTAGGGAGGATTAGGGTCTACTTTTCGGGTTTAGGTACAAATCTTGCGGAACAGGTGCCAGGCACATCAAAATAGGGGCTTGAAGACTTGAAGACACTGTTCCTGAGGAATCATACTAAATTACGGGTCTGTTGAGTAAGGCTCCTTTACTACTCTGCCTTCGGCCGTTGTTTATTGTCGGAATAAGAGTCACTATTAGGGTTAAGGGCCGCCATAAGGTTCTACCCTAAACCCTAAACCCTGGTTCGTGGTGGCAAGGATCACAAGAAGAGCGTCAGGCGTTTCACGGAGCCTGGTGACGATGCGAAGAAGGAGGTCACTGCATGACATACTGTTGATGATATAAATCCTGCACCACCTTGAGGACCCTAGACGATGGGAGTAATGTAAACCCCAAACCAGAGCTTAGGGCGCCGTCTGAGGTCCGGAACGCAGCAGCGGGATGTGAGCCGCGTGAAGGAGCGGAGGCCGGAGATGCTTCGCTCTGCTTAGGGTTTAGGGGTTTAGGGGGTTCAGGGTTTAGGGTTTATATAGGCGTTTAGGGTTTAGGGTTTGAGGGTTTTTGAGGTTTTAGATTTTCTTTTTAAGTTTCCAAAACAAACCTAAGGTTTTTCAAGAGTTCCAGGGTTTAGGTGGACTTTATGGGCTACTAGCTATAGCCTGCTACTATAGGAGGCGCAAAAAGCGGTTCTGCAGGTTGAACTTGAGGATTGAGAGGGTTGAGTGTTCAGGATTTAGGTTTCAGGGGTTAGCAAGGGCTCTTAAAGGGCTCCTTTAAGGGATCTCTAGGGTTCCTTAAGGGATTTATGGGGTTTGCGGGTTTTGGGTGGATCTTGCTTGGAGGGGCAGGGGACTTAGTAAGTAGGTTGTCGTAGTAGAGTTATAAGTGCCCTAGATGGAGTTATCCCAGTTAACACCCTACTTACTAAGTCCCGTGCCCCTCCAAGTGTGGTTGGGGCCAGAGGTCTTTGCGCAGGGCTTTAATTCAAAGACTTGTGGGCAGGTTCCTGAAATCCAAGCCGAGTCCTTGTCCGCACACTACCAGGCTTCGAATTTCGCGTACTTGGTGCTGCATCTAAGAGGCCGAACAGCCAGTACGCCATTCTTGCCCAAAGTACCTATAAACCCTAAACCCAAAACCCTAAACCCTAAATCCTAAACCTCAAACCCCTAAACCCTAAACCCTAAATCCTAAACCCTAAATCCTAAACCCTAACTCGCAAACCCCGCGACCCTTTAAAAGCTAAACCTCGCTAAGGCCTACACTCCAGAGGGTTGAGGGCCCCGACACCCTGAGCCCTTTAGGGTTTAGGGGTTTAGGATTTAGGGTTTAGGGTTTAGGGGTTTAGGGGTTTAGGGGTTTAGGGTTTAGGGTTTAGGGGTTTAGGATTTAGGGTTTAGGGTTTAGGGTTTAGGGGTTTAGGGGTTTAGGGTTTAGGGTTTAGGGAGGGTTCAAATGGAAGGAGCCAAAATCTCTGCGCGGGGTTGGGCGTTTAGTTTCCCCAGCCTCCGGACTACCAAACCAGCAACCGCACCAATGCAGAGGTCGGCATGATCGCAGTGTCTCGTAGACCCTGTGTACCACGTAGCACCACACTACACTCTGCTGCACTGAAATGCAAGAGATTACTAGTCCGGGACTATACTAGCCCTTCAACCCTCCCCCTCCCCCCTCCCCACTCTGCCTCTCGCAACTACAAAGGCCCCTATCCCACGCAGGTACATGGCCCGGTATCATTCCATCCCATCCACCTCCTCGGTGCGCGCCCCAGACAAAGGTTGCATTACTAAACCCTATACTATACCCTACACTCTACACCTCGAAACCCTAAACCCTATCCCTATTCCGCTAAACCCTAAGCCCTATACCCTAACTTTAGACCCTACTTGGAGGGACAGGGGACTTAGTGAGTATGGTTATTCATAGAGTTAAAAGCATCCCTACTTACTGACTCCCCTGCCCCTCCAAGTTGTGGGCAGGTTCCTGAAATGCTGCATGCCAAGCCGATTCCTTGTCCGTACACTAACTTTAGACCATACACCCTTAAACCGGCAGATAGCCCAAACGCTACTTAAAGGGTCATGGGACTTAGTAACTAAAGCAATTATTGGGGTATCTATACTTACACTTACTTGTATCCCCAATTAAGGTACTTATAACCATACTTACTAAGTCCCGTGATCCTTTAAGTAGCACTTGGGGTGTCGGTCGTCGGGTTCAGGGTTCAGGGTCTAAAGTTAGGGTATAAGGGGTTTAGGATTCCTTTAAAGGGGCCTATACGGGATCCTTAAGGGTTCCTTTAAGGGATACCCCAAACGCTATAAGCCCCTAAACCGGAGCAGGTCGAGTTCATTGCCAAGCGCTCCCTGAGTCTAAGTCTTTTTCCCTTGAGCCTACTTGAGGGATCTATAGGGTTCTTTAAAGGGATCTATAGGGTTCCCATGGGATGTCGGGTTCAGGGTTTAGGGTCTAAAGTTAGGGTATAGGGGTTTAGGATTCCTTGAAAGGGATCTAGAAGGGATCCTTAAGGGCTCCTTTAAGGGATCTATAGGTAAGGGTTTAGGGTTTTACTTGGAACGGCAGGGGAGTTAGTAAGTAGGGTTATAATTGGGGTAACTCCCTTTAGGGTACTTATAACTCTACTTATAACCATACTAAGTCCCCTGCCCCTCCAAGTAGACCCTACCCTAACCCCAAGTAACATAACAGATGGGCCTAACTTCTTAGTAGGGTTTTTGGGCCCAATATACTATGTGTATATACATATTACATGTAAGAAGGAGCACCCAACATAGTATTGGTACTGGTTTCGGCCCCTATAGTACCTTTTATGTTTCCTTATCATGCTGTCCCTACACAAGTCCTTCGAATGGTAGGTCATTCAGGGTCCAGGCAAACCCAAAGCCCTGAATTCGTCCTAAAGCCCAAATCTCGGCTACTAGAACCCAGAGAGCCCAATACCCCTTAAATAAGGAATATAGCTTAAATCATAATATGAAGCTCTATATAATTTAAGCCATATTCCTTAATTAAGGGGTATTGGGCTCTCTGGGAAGGGTTCCTTTCAACAGCTCCTCAAAGGGCTCCTTTACAGTCTGCTTCTTTGGAAGAGGTAGGGTTTGGGGCTTTGTTTTTTTTTATCAAGGTTTAGGGGTTCAGGGGCTTGGAGCTGAGGGTTCGGGGCTTTTTGGGTTTAGGGGTTTGGGGCTTTTGGTTTAGGGTTTAAGGCTTCGTTGAGGATGATGACGATTAAGATGACGGCGATTGTCATCGTGGTTGTGATGATGATGATGATAATAATGACTGTGAGGATGATGATGATGATGGTGGTGGCGACGGCGCGACGTACAGAAACGGTAGCGACCTTGACAGTCATAATGCTGGCGATAGCCATGATATTGTCTCCAACACCCCAAGTGGACCCTGATGCTTCCCATCATGACCTTGAAACAAGGTCTGCTCAGCCACGGACTCACTGAACAGGACAAAAAGAGCCCATGTCGGGCAAAGACTACCACCCTAAACCCTAAACCCTAAACCCTAAACCGCTACCACAACTCGCGGGGCAAGATTTTGTTTCGCAGTGACGCAGGGCGGATTGGATCTCAGGGTTTGGGGTTTACCCTCAGGCCCCAAAGTAGTTCCTTTTTTTGGAGTTCATATACAGAATCCTATGAGCGAATGCCCAAAGCGAAGCCCAAAAAAGGAACTACTTTGGGGCCTATGGGTAGGGTCAAAGCCCCGAATTCCATCAAGAGGCCCAAGCCGGTACAACCCAAAAGGCCGAAGCCTGAAAGTCCAGAAGCCTTTGTAGCGATGGTTTAGGGTTTAGGGTTTAGGGTTTAGGGTTTAGGGTTTAGAGCAGAGGTTGCGGATTTCTTCCAGCTGAGCCAGACGCCCATCCACTTGGATCCGACAATGAAGGCAGGATTTTTGCAGGTTGTTGACGTATGCATGTATGTACGTACGTATGCATGTATGCATGTACGTATGTACATATGCATGTATGCCGGTATGTATGTGCATCTGCGCAGATATTGCATACAGTATACTATATGTCCTTAAACCTAAACCTGAAACAAACTGCACATTCGAGGCTGGACAGGCCTCTGTCTGGGGCCATGTAATTAGGTTTTCCTCTATTGGGTCTAAGTTAATCTACTTTACGGGTATGTTTCAAAGGCTTTTGCAGGGCCAGCCTAGCACGGAGTTTATTTAGTCTACTTGGAGGATGATAGGACTCAGTAAGTCCTACACTCTGCACATCCCAACTCTTTGTCACCTCATCCGAAAATCCGAACCACTAAACCCCTAGACTGTAAACCCTAAAACCCCTAAACCCTGAACCCTAAAACCTAAGCCTTAAGCTCTATACGTCTATAGTCCTGGAAGTAGACACTGACCCTCCTCAACACTGTTGTCCTTTGTTATGGTCCCCTAATAAAGAATAGACAGATCGGTTAAGGTACCTTCTTTAAGGGCTTCTTATTAAGGGACTAGGGTAAAGGGCCCTGTCTATTTCCCTAAAAAGGACAAGGCCGCTCCTCAAAGCTTCGAGGGTTTTTGCCAAAGTCCTGCAGCCCGAGAGTGGGGTTGGATCAAACGGAGTGGGTTTAGGGTTTAGGGTGGGGTTTAGGGTTTAGTGCCTATTAGGTTTAGGCTTTTAGGGTTTTAGGGTTTCGGGTTTAGGGTGGGGTTTAGGGTTTAGTGCCTATTAGGTTTAGGCTTTTAGGGTTTTAGGGTTTCGGGTTTAGGGTGGGGTTTAGGGTTTAGGGCCTATTAGGTTTAGGTTTTTAGGGTTTTAGGGTTTTAGGGGTTTTTGTAGGGCTTAGGGTTTCGGGTTTGGGACATGTCATGTTTGCTCTGTCTTTGGGCTTAAGAGGATCTTACCTACTAACATTTTTCAAAGGCTTTAAGTGCACCTCCTCGGTTTAGGGTTTAGAGTTATGTCTTCTGATCGGTTCTGATCCAGAATCCCCTCGTACTGGGGTCTTACCGAAGACCTTAATTGAGGTTACCGGCGTCGGGATGGGCAGTAAATCATGTGCTTTCCGTGTTATCATAAGTTAAGCCCAGTTTAGTCTCTGGGGAAACCCTTTACAGGGTCTCTCATCGAGCCCTTAGAGTAGCCTATAGAACCCTTCCAGGAGCCCTCAAAGGGAAATACCTGAATTCAGCTAATAGCCCTTCGTCGTAGTACTTGGAGGATCATGGGACGTAGTAAGTATGGGTATAAGTACCTTGACCGGGGCTAAAAGTACTTACAAGTATAGTTGCCCAAATAATAACCCTCATTACCAAGGCCCATGATCCTTTAAGTAACCCTAAATCAACCCTTAGAGGAACCTGTAAACCAGGTGTTCCGTGATGAATACTTAGGGGATCATGGGACTTAGTAATCACGGTGATTTTTAGGGTAACTATACTTATAGTTACTTATAACCCCAATCAAGGTACTTGTGACCATACTAAGTCCCATGATCCTCCAAGTTTTTCTGCGGCACAGCCGCAGGTTCTGACTGACCGTGTCCGGGCGAAACTCCAGCAATGGCAGGCAAGGTTTGCTTTTCGCGTGTGCCGCCCTACCTGGACCCTAAAGAACCTACCGGTTCCTTACGTACTTGGAGGATCATGGTTGTTAGTAAGTATGGTTCTAAGTACCTTAATTGGGGTTATAAGTAACTATAAGTATAGTCAACTTAGAAATAACCCGAGTTACTAAGTCCCATGTTCCTTACGTAGGGTTTTGGCTTTGCGAATGTGTGGCCCGAAACCCGAAACGTTAAAGTTCGGGGTTCAGGGGAAAGAGCCTACTAGGAGGGGCAGGGGAATAAGTAAGCAGGTTATAAGTAGGGTTATACTTGGGGTAACTCCAGTTAGGGTTCTTATAACTCTACTTATAACCTACTTACTAAGTCCCTGCCCCTCCAAGTAGGGTCTAAAGTGAAGGTATAGGGCTTAGGGTTTAGCGGAATAGAGATAGGGTTTAGGGTTTCGGGGTGCAGGATTTAGGTTATGGTATAGGGTTTAGTATTGCAACCTTTGTCTGGAGTGCGCACCGAGGGGGTGGATGGGATGGAATGATACCGGGCCATGTAACTGCGTGGGATAGGGGCCTTAGTAGCTGCTACAGGCCGAAGGGGGGGAAGGGTTGAAGGGCTAGTATAGTCCCGGACGAGACTCTTGCATTGCAGTGCAGCGGAGCGTAGTGTGGTGCTACGTAGTATACAGGGTCTACGAGACACTACGATCACACCGACCTCTGCATTGGTGCGGTTGCTGGTTTTGGTGGTTCTGATGGACAGGAACATCTGATGCAGAACACTTTGTTCTCTGGCGATCCTTTGACGCAGCTGATTAATACTCTGATGAACTTGGTTTTGGCGCGTGGATCACTGAAGGGCGAGCTGATAAGCCTCAAACGGGATGACACTGTCACAAGTGCGATGGCCGATTCCAGACAAAATGCTGACTCATATCTGAAGAGCAACACCGGGATTGGCATGTATGCTGCCAAAGAGAAAACGTTAATAAGCGACAGGGCAGCAGAAGCTGAGAGCTTTTGTGTGTCCAGTGAAAGTGGATACATCGGTTCACTAAACAGAAGAGTCGGCAGCAGCGTAATATCCGAACCACAAGGCGCGAGCAACCTGACTTTATTGCACGGTTGACACCCAGTGGATTTGCAACACAGCTGGTTGAGAAGATGCTGTTGTGCAAGAGACTGCCTACGTCGTTTGGTGGTTTTGAGCTTGGAGAACCAGTACGTGGTATAGGGACTACTTGGAGGATCATGGGACTTAGTAACTAGGGTTATTATTAAGGTAACTATACTTATAATTACTTATAACCCCAATCAAGGTACTTATAACCGTAATTACTAAGTCCCATAATCCCTTAGGGATTAGGTACGGCCCCCATACAGTAAGAGTCTATAATAGGGCTACTATTAAGGTCCTACTATATCTATATTATGAATACTATTCAACTATTACTGAGTGGGGGCCGTACCTAATAAACCCTAAACCCTAAACCCTAAACCCTAAACCCTAAACCTTAAACCATATTTAATATCGGGACTAAGCCCGAAACCCTAAACAATAAACCCGAAGCCCTGCCCCCCTTCGCCCGCAAGTCTCAGGCCGACCTGTATAGGCTTCAAGGAGGGTATTTGGGGTTTAAGGTTAGGGTTTAGGGTTTGAGGTTTAGGGTTTTCAGGGTTTTTAGGGTTCAGGGTTTAGGGTTTAAGGTTTAGGGTTTTCAGGGTTTTTAGGGTTTAGGGTTTAAGGTTTAGGGTTTTCAGGGGTTTCTAGCGTTCAGGGTTCCGGGTTTCAGGGGTTTTAGGGTTTTTGAGGTAGAAGTTCGGCTCCAGCAAGGGATCTATAAGGGTTTTAAGGGTTTTTTAGTTAGACTTGTAAGGGTCGTTCTCGAAAGTAGGGTCCCGTTCCCAAAGCAGTATGGCACCCTTATATGAAGGAGCCTAAAAGGGACCCTGATTTGGAGAACCAGCCTATAAGCTTTAAAGATGGTTAGACGCAACAATCATGGTGACCATCTGGATCGTCATGATTTCTATAGGCTCCTCAACAGTTATTTATTTTAGATTAGTATTCATATAAAACCCAAGAGAATATTATCAATACTATTTTCATTATGGTTCTAGAGGGGGCGGGGCATAGATCTTAGTATGATGCTACATGTAGTTAGTGTTCGTTCTCAGGGTCCCTGTGATGTCAAAGCCCTCAAACACTAAATCCTAAACCCTAAACCCTAATCCAGTATCTCTCTCACAGGTCCTCATAACAGGCTCTACCTACTAGGTATTCCGACTGTACCAGGGAGGAAAAGGGCCCTCAAAAAAAAACCTAAACCGAAACAATCATGAAGCGATCACATAACCCCAACTAAGGTACCTAACTTTTAACCATACTTACTAAGTCCCATGATCCTCCAACGGTTGATGATGCAAATTCTGCATCACCCTAAGGACCTAAACTATGGGGAGTATGGTACATTCCTGATTATGGGTAATGTAGGGTTTATATCATCAGCCGAAGTGTGCAGGAGGGCCCATCTGCCACGGGACCCCGTCAGCTCTTGGCACCGGAAAGTGGGATTTGATTCCAGCTTCGGCTCGCAGCACTGCTTAGTATACTTAGATCCCCAATACCTAACCTTCGAACTTTTTGGTTTCTCATAGTTTAGTAGGAATCGAAAAGTTCAACATTTTGTTTCTGTGGCTTATTGGGGGGCTTAGTATAGGAACCTTTTTAAGTAACCTTGGGTGTATCAAGGCCCTCAAACCTTGAACCGTTTTTCCAAACTCTAAATCCCAAAGCCAAAGCCCTCAAGTCTTAAACGTACGAACTTTGAGGTACTTGGCCCAGAGCAGCAGCCACACACCTCAGCCGAGGCTGTTTTAAGGGATTCCCTTAAGTGTTTATGTTGGGGCTTCTTTTCTAGGTTTCGGTCAACCAGTTTTTGCAGACGTTTGAGGTTTTCAACGGAAGAGGAAAGCTTTTGGGTTTTAGACAGGTTAGGTTCATAAGGGTTTCATGAGGGCTGTAGAAGAAATGGTATGAATATTGGGCATTGCTGTTTTTAGAGTTAATCAGGGGTTTCAATAGGCTTGGCGAGGTTTTTGACGGTTTGACAGTCGTTTCACTCGTGGTCTAGGTGTTCATGACGGAACGGGCAGATATAGTGCGTTAGGCGATTTCAGGTTGAGGGTTTCTGGTTTAGGTTGGGAGTTTCACATGTGGCAGTGGTGATCTGTCTGGTGCTTAGAAGGGAATGGGGGTATGGATCCCAATGATAGTCCCTTAAGGTCCCTCAGTAGTGCTAATAACCCATCCCCTATTCCCTACAAAGAACCAGACAGTAAACCCCAAACCCAAGGAACCCTTAAAGGAACCCCTAAACCCTAAGTGGTCATGATGTGGACAGTGCAGGAATTCATGCAGGTCTTTGTCCGGCATAGCCGAGTGGTATTGTAGTTTGAGTATGGTCGGGTGTGAAGGGAGTCCTCGAGATCATTATATAAGTTGCTTCTTGCGTCCTCAGAGACTCGGGTGTTGGGTACCACACCCCTTTCCCTGGGCATCAGCATAGCCCAAAAGCCTTCTTTGAAGGGACCCCGTATAGATCCCTTTAAAAGGACCTTATATGAGTCCTTAGAGCGCTAGGGTTCCTTCCGCCGTGTAGGATGTAAACTCTCGGGCTTAGGCTTAAGGGTTTGGGACTTAGGGTGCAGGGTGTAGGGCTTAAAGGGTCAACATCCTTCTTAGTCTACGTGCTTTGGTGGTATCTGTCGCAAAGAAGTACAGAGAGGCCAGGAAGACCCCAAACCCTAAACCCTAACCCAAAACCCAAAACCCTAAACCTGCCGATGTACTCCAGAAATCAGCAAGATTACAATGGAGTGCGACGAGACCCTGAGCCCTAGTGCCCTAGCCTGAAACCCCAAGCCCTAAGCCTTTAAACCCTAAAGCCCTGAAGCCCTATTCTAGATCCCTTGTAAGGAACCCTTATAGTTGGCTTTGAAGGATCCCTGATAGAACTCCTAGACTCTAAACCTTCCGAAACCTTCGGATTCGGGCCGCCAGCAAGAGGATAGAAGAGAGAACCGCATCTCGAAGCTCCGCAACCCTGCAAGCCAATCCCGACACCGTTAATCCTCACTCCTAAATTGAGATTCGGGTCCGGCTTTGGGGTTTCGGATTTTTGGGTTTAGGGTTTAGGGATTCCAACTCCGCAATTATGAAACTGAATATGAGCAGTTGGATGTTCGATTCCCCAAATGTTAGGATCCGTTCAAAACCCCGGACAAGGACCATGTCCCCGAATCAGGTTGCTACATTTGATCGCCCATGCCCAAACCCCAAACGCAAAACTGAGCCCTACACCCTAAACTCTCTGGACTCCAAGTCTAAACTTCTTCTTCACTTCGCTGCGTAAAGGTCTAGTCCTGTGCAAATAAAAAGGCGGCCTCAAAAGTCGCGACGAGTCAACGACAGGCCTGGAAAAGCGGAGACAAGCAGCCTAAACCCTAAATCCTGAACCCCCAAACTTGAAACTCTGAGCCGAAGGTCATCCGCGGCTTGCGCACCCTCGCAGCAGCATGTGAGAGGCTGTGGTGACTCGGGTGATTCGTTGGAGCTTGGGGTTTTAGAAGCCCAACCCGACACCCGAATCCGAAACGGGTTTAGGGGGTCTCGGGGGTTAGGGTTTAGGGCTATGTCATGTCATTCAAGGGGCAGGGTTATAGTCGTTTGGGGGATTTTCTATCAGGGTGTTGCCTCACACCTCCATATCAGGATATGTGTTATTTTATGACTAAGGTTATGGGGTTAGGGGGATTTCATGGTTTAGGGTTGTGTTATGGATTATTGTATTCGTTTTGGTGTGTGTTGCTTTGTTTCGGGATTATTGTATTGGTTTTTGGGAGGTGGTTTGTGTTTTGGATAATTGTATTTCTTTTTCCGAAGTGCTTTGTGTTTCGGTGTTTTCGGAGGTTAAAATCTTAGGCGTGTTGAGAAATGGTGTGAAAGTGTGGGGGGGAGTATGCGATGTGAAGTGTGGGGTTAGCACTTGCTTGCTACAGAACCCTTGAATTTAGGGTGTTTTTAATCACTGCCCAAACCCCCGGGAGGATCTAGAAAGTAGATCCCCTAATTTGGTGCCCTATAGATCTGAGGGTACTCTTCAGGAACCCCCATTAAGGGATCCACTTTTTGGATCCTCCCGGAGGTCCGGGTGGGTCCCCAGAGACTCCAATACCCCTTAATTAAGGAATACACCTTAAATTATAGTAGGATCCATAATATGGTTTATGGTTATGGTTGAAGGAATAATTCCCTAATTAAGGGGTATTGGAGTCTCTGGGTCTCTGCGAGGATGCCGACCTACGCAGACTACGCTGCAAGCCTGGATCCTGCCCAGGCGTGGTGGCGCGCGGGGGGTTTAGGGCTTGCTTGTTAAGGACCCTAGACTATGGAAATTATGGTATATTCCTTACTAGGGGTAATGCAGGATTTATATCATCAACAGTATCCTAGTAGTAGAGTAGGTAATCCCTTTTTGGGTAGTATAGTCCCGATATAATCCCTAAATAACCAAAAAGTTAACCTTTAGTTCCCCATGATACCCGACAAGTAGGTTATGAAGCTTACCCTTTCTGGGATCCTTACTATGATTTTTTGACGTCTTGAAAAGGTAGGTTCTTTGGGGTTCAGGCTTCATTGCTTCGGGTTCACGTTATTTGGGGTTTAGGGTTCAGCGTTCAGGGTTCTGGGTTTTCTGTTAGTACGTATTCAGAGGCCTTTCTGTGGTTGTAAGAGGTGTTTCTCCAGCGTTTTAGGTGGACACATCGTGAGAACAAGCAAGCAAATTGAAGCTCATTGTGCGCGTGGAGGACAATGCGACTGTTTATGCTAGAGACAGCAACCATAGTTGAGGCTCCCTTGATGACCCCTTGCGAGGATCCGTCACATGTCGTCTTGTCAAAGTCCGTGACGGCGCAGTGCTTGAAGATTTCGTCCTGCTCACCATCTGCTTTGAGGAGTTCTGGGACCAACGCAGCGAGACCTCACTTGATTTCATGGCAAGTGGCTTCTAATGCAACATGGTGAACGACATGCCATACACATCTTACCCGGTGCGCTCGGGCCCAGGCACAGTTTCGCGAAATTCCTGCCTCCGATGCGATTGCTCCCATTCCTGCTTCATTCTTCTGGAATCTGCCCTCCATGGACATGATCTGAGTGATCGTTCCCGAGCGAACTCTAAGACTTGGAACATGCACTGCATGCCGTGACTAGGGCCGACTTGTAAGATTCCCGCTTAGGAGACTATTTGCAGAGTTTCCGTCAAAACAAGCGTTGTAAGGCTCTTGGTCCCGTGTGGATCTTAATCCAGGGTACTTGGAGAGGCAGGGGACTTAGTAAGTAGGGTTATAAGTAGGGTTATAATTGGGGTAACTCCATTTAGGGTACTTAGAACTGACTCTACTCATCACCTACTTACTAAGTCCCCTGCTCCTCCAAGTAAGGATGTTGTACTCTCTGGGTACTCTCTGGGTGGACCCAAGGATGCTATTGTGGCGTTCGGGGATCTCTCTACCTTAAGGGCCGTTTTACGGTCCCTATGTTTAGGATTCAAAAGAGACCCTGATTTAGAGAGCTACCCATACTCTTCTAGGTGTGCACTGTAGGGTTAGTCTGCAGATGGCCACTGCGCGGATGCTCCGGAGATGAGATTTCGAGCAAAAATGCTGCCTTCAGTCTTGCAGCTGGCTTAAAGGGAACTCCAGAAAGTTGGAATATGGTTTTAGGGTAGGATACCTTATAATTTACCATAAAGGGTTTAGGATAATCATATTCCAACTTTCTGGCTTTTACTTTAATGCTGAAGGCTTAAGGTTAAGGGTTATTATAGCGGTTAGGGACCCTTGCGTGGGGTGTGGAATAGAGACTCGTGACACGCGAACCCTAAACCCTAAGCCCTAAATCCTAAACCCTAAAGCCCTAAACCCTAAACCCTAAAGCCCTAAAGCCCTAAGAGACTGAAGAGAGGCACCCCACGAGCGGCTCTTCGGCTACTCACAGGCGGTGCCGCGGGGGCGCCGGTGCCTCGCCTGAGATTTGGGGGTAAGGCAAGACCACTGCTTCTTTTCTGGAAGGTTTAGGCTTACTTGGAGGGGCAGGGGACTTAGTAAGTATGGTTATAAGTACAGTTAAAAGTACCTTGAATGGATTTACCCAAGTATAACCCTACTTATAACCCTACTTACTAAGTGCCCTGCCCCTCCAATCATTGCTTTTTTTCTGGAAGGTTTAGGCTTAGGGATTATGGCTCAAGGTTTAAGACCTAAGGTTGAAGATTTACTCAGTTTACGGACGAGGGTTTAGTTCAGAGTCTGGGGCGTAAGGTTGAGATATTGCTGGAGTTTGGGTTGGTGTCCATGCGGCGAGGATCTTGGTCTTCGGAGTTTGCATGACGGCCCTCATTTTCTGAAACTCCCATTTCGGTAAGACCAAGGTGCTCTTTCTGATAGGTCTTAGAAGCGGGTTGCAGGACTGGTTTAAGACAGTTGGGCTTTTACCAGAGGTTCTCTACCAGCGAAGAGCAATGAAGAGGTCTGGATCGGTAGCTGTCCTGCCGTTCCACCTCGATAACCTTCAGGGTTCAGTCTGCGCCCAGCGAGCCTGGAGTGTTTGGGCAACTACCGTCCATGAGTGGACAGACGAGGACATCGACCGCAAAAAGTCCCAGGTCGGGCAGTTCCTCTCGCTTGCTTGCTTCATGTCGTGCCCTGGGCAGCCCGACATTTTTTGTGGAAAGAAGAGACCATGAGCACAGGCCCAACCAAGCCACTGAGACCATGCCGACTCACCAAGATACTGTTGATGGACAAAATCCTGCATTACCCATTAAATGGAATATACCATAATTCCCATAGTTTAGAGTCCTTAGGGTCATGCAGGATTTTTCCATCAGCAGTAGTGACGAGAAGTCCGAAGACAGTTCTTAGATGTCAGATGTCACAAGGAACATTCTTGGAGGGGCAGGGGACTTAGTAAGCAGGTTACAAGTAGAGTTATAAGTACCTTAGATGGAGTTACCCTAATTATATCTCTACTTATAACCCTACTTACTAAGCCCCCTGCCCCTCCAAGTTGAATCAGGGTCCGAGCAGGCCAGCGCAAATGGTAGCCAAGCGGCCAAGGTTCGGAGTCACGAGTTGGAGGTTAGGGCTTGGGGGTAAGGAGCCTGATTAAGAAACCCTGGGCCCATGACCCAAAATAGTAGGATTCATCTAAGGAACCTTAGTAAAGGCCTAAGGTTTCTTACTCAGGTTCCTGCATTAGACCATTTTCCCAGAGGGTCCTGTTGCCTGCGGTGTAGATGTTTCCAGATCGGCAGCGGCAAGGTGCCTTACCTGGAGGGTACGATTCTCCCAAAACTTTGACTCCCTAAACCCAAACCCCCCTCACCCAAAAAAAGCCCTAAACCATTAACCCAAACCCCCTCACCCAAAAGCCCTAAACCCCAAGCCTTAACCCTCAACTTTAAACCCCCAAGCCGACGCCCTAATATGGGGGCTTTAACAGTTGCCCATGCCATTTTCGGGATTCCTTATTATAAGTGTAGTATGATGGGCCCCAAAACCCTATTCTCATTATGAAGGCCCCTACATTATGTCCTTAGAATAGCCCTTATAGTAGCCCTTGTAGATCCCTTTTCAAAGGAACCCTGTTCTAATTATTAAGGCCCCTAGATTAAGTCCTAAACTCCAGCCCGAAATACCCTAAACCCTAAACCCTATTCAGGCCCCTATATGAAGTCCTACACTCTAGCCCGAAATCCCATGGAGCTGAGTCGGTCTCCCAAGGCGCTAGGGTTCAGGGTCTTGGGGTCCCCGGGTTCAGGGTCTTCTGTTTGGGCTTTGGGGTTTAGGATTTAGGGTTTAGGGTTTAGGGTTGAGGGTTTAGGGTTTAGGGTTTAGGGTTTAGGGTTTAGGATTTAGGGTTTAGGGTTTAGGATTTAGGGTTTAGGGTTTAGGGTTGAGGGTCTTACTTGGAGGGGCAGGGGACTTTGTAGGTTATAAGTAGGGTTATAATTGGGGTATCTCCATTTTGGGTACTTATAACTCTACTTCCCCTGCCCCTGCGAGTAGGGTCTTAGGGTCTTAGGGTTTATACTTTGAGGGTTTAGGGTCTTTGGGTTTACGTTTTAGGGTTTGGGGTATGAGGGTTGAGGGTTTAGGGTTGAGGGTTTAGGCTTTTAGGGCTGAGGGGAGGGTTCAGGGTTCAGGGTTGAGGTTTTAGGGTTTGGGGTTGAGGGCGAGCGGCTAGAGCTGTCCACAGTGTTTGGGTCCGTTTGATTTGGGATTGCAACCCGCGGATGAGGCTATGCCGCGAATTTTTGATGCGTAGACCCAAAGTCCGATATTTAAAGATCGTTGCTTCGTAGTCCTACATTTTATAATCCCTCGTTGCCTCGCCTACACCCTGAAGGGTTTGGGGTCTAGGGTTGTCCTCGGTCGAGGACGTTGAAAGCAGTGCCGCGCATGTCGAAGACGCCGTTAACCAGGCCTGCGGTGAATTTGTCATCTTCAACCGCGAAGGGGTTGTTCGAGTTAACCAGCCGCTAATTTGCAAGGCTAAAACGCCCTTCCTCCGACCCCCCCAAGGTTGCTTTTGGGCCTTTGTCCGTTGTGGATCCTCTACAGAAGCGGCCTTAGTAAGGATTCTTAAAGGGCTCCTTGTAGGGATCTCTAGGGTTCCTTAAAGGGATATATGGGGTTTAGGGTTTAGGGTCTACTTGGAGGGGCAGGGGACTTAGTAAGTAGGGTTATGATTGGGGTAACTCCACTTAGGGTACTTATTGATAACTCTCCTGCTAACCTACTTGCTACGTCCCCTGCAAGTACACCCAAACGCAGACTGTTTTCGGACGGGAGGGGGGGGGGGGGGTGGTGGTCTTCGACGCATGCTCAAGCTGTGGGAAACCAGAACCCTACAGCCAAAACCGGCAGCTGAGCCGCCCTCTTTGAACTCCTCTTACTCTCTAAATTCTGAGGGTCCTCAGGGCGGGGTCGTTGCCTGACGAATTCCTGCCCTTCAGGCGTGCATGAAGTCAGGCATCCATCGTGTGGGAAATTGCCATGGGCGATTGCCGCAGGAGTTTGTCTGTTGCTGTCCTGTTTGCGTGAATTCGGGCATGGGGGCAAGTCTTGAATTTGCAAAACCTTCACCGGATCTAGGCACCAGCTGGGGTAATGTTTTCCCCGCAAAACCATATAGGTGGTTGCCAAAATTAGGGTCCTTTTTTGGGTCCCCATTATAATACGGCACCTAATGATAGGGTACCCAAAAAGAGATCATAATTTTGGCAACCACCCATATATGATGAAACAAAACGAAAATAGTATACCCCAATGCCCTCGTCGAATTAGTAAGGCCCCTGTAAACGGGCTCCAGTCTAAAAACAGGGCGTGACAAAACGACCCCCTCCTGAAGGTAATATAGGGGCCTTAATGATTGCCCACACTATTTTGGGTTCCTTACAGAAACCCTATTCTAATTGTTGCAAGACCCCTGCGCAAGAATGACACGCCCTTGCAGGCCTTTTTTGCTCAGCGTATATAAAGTTGTTGCGTGCTTTCGGGGTGTTAGTCCAGGGTCGAGCCTAGAGTCCCAAGCGTAGGAACCCAGGTTCCTCTAAAGGCCCTTCCCCGGTAGATCCTCGAAAAGAGGTTAGGAGCCCAAGCTCCCTTAGGGTCCCTTTAGCTCTACTTCGTAGGCTTAGGCCCCTAAGTATCGCCCTCCGCTCCCTGAACTTTGTAAGTCTAGGCTCTAAGTCCTAGCTTAGTCGGGTGTATCTAAGTGCTGAGCTTAGTTGTAGGAGTGTAGTCTCCTTCCCCTCGAAACCATGGACACCTCTCTCCGCCGGCGCAGATCGGAGCGCCAAGATCCTGATTTTCAGGATACGGAACAGGCCATGGCGTTGGAGGCCGAGATCGAGGCCCCAGCTTCTTCAGAAGGTCCAGCGGAGGCTCATCCTTTTTGGTCGGAGCGAGCTAAAGCTGAAGTGGAGTTGCAAAGGGCTAGGCCACAAAGCCTAAGAGAAGCCAAGCTTCCGGAAGTAAAGGTGGATGAGGCTGTTTTGGAGCCAGACTATGATTTGGGACCCGGGGGAAAGGGCCGAGGTGCTTCGCCGGTTATGGAAAGCGAGGTTGTGAGAGCAGCTTCAGGAAGGGCAGATGGTCATTCAAGGAACAAGGTGGATGGTGTGCAAAAGGGTCAGGAGCTGTTTCTGGAGCAGGCCCAGCAGAGCCGGGGTTTCAAGGACTCCCTAGCTCCGGGGCCGAAACAGGCTACAAAGCAAACGGAGCCTGTGGACCTCTTGTCGATGTCTCCTATGAAGATGACCTCTGAGTGAATAAATAACCCTCGGTTTCAACCCCCTACGATCCCGGAGATGGAAGGACCTTTTTCCCTGCCTGAACGCGAGAACCCAAGTCCAAAGCCGTCGGCCTTCCTGGATGTGGAAACGGCTGGACACCTGCCGATGCTGCAGCATGGAGCAACTGAACGACGGCAGTCAGGTGTTCAGGACCTTTCGAATTCTGGAGTTCCTGCTTCGGAAGTTGGGGAGTTCTCCAGGATTGGTGGGCCACGGATGATGCTTGGGAGTTCTGCGGGCTCTACGCTTCAGGAGTTCTCGTCAACGACCGGAGTAGGGGCTTCAGAAGGGAAGGTTCTGAACAGGTCTCACCTCGAACTAGATTCTGGTAGCGCGAGAGTAGGAAACGAAAGGGCTGAAAGTGTCAGTGAAGGCACAGCAAGGAGGTCTATCCCTCTGTCTCCAGAAGCCCAGAAATCCCAGAAGAGTTCGGCCTATGAGATTCCGGATCCTTCAGAACAACACTTCGAAATCGTTAGACTACGGTCTTTGGTTGAGCATCTTCATGATAGGCTAGAGAAAGCTGAGGCTGAACGTAGTACGAGAGGATCCAGATCTTTTGGGTCGGCCTCTTCTGGGCGTAGAGTAGAGGAACTAGAGCTCAAGGGCCAAAGGGTAAACTTTCAGTCTGAGGAGGGTTATCCTTTGCCCCCGGTGCCACCTCTGCCTCCTTTCGCCTCCGAGGGGTGGTCTTCCTGGAATACTTCGGACCCCCTTCATTCCACTCACGACCTGGTCTTGGGTCAGGAGCCTCCACGTCAGTCCTCCCTCGATATGGATTTTGGCACCTCTGTTCATTCCCCGATGCTTTTTCCTGGGGACATGGTGCCTTTGACTTCAACTGCGAGTGCTCCTGGGGCCACCTTTTCGCCTTCTGAGGTTCCGTCTATGGACTTTGGACTTCACTCTTTTACAGGGCCCCAGGAGTCCAATCCTCCTCAGGGATTCCCAATCCCGTTTCTCCTTCCGAGGTTCCTTCGATGGACTTTGGACTTCATTCTGCTGCGGGTGCTGGACCTCAGTACTTCGCTTTGTCTCCCCGTGCCCAGTTGCCGACTCCGTCTGGTGTGATAAGGGTTATGGGAGTTAATCATAGCTGGAAGGTGGTTAATGGTTCGTTGGTTTTAGAGCCTGTGGACTTCGTCCCTCCTCCTCCTCCGCAGGGGACTTCGCCCTTGGTCGCAGCTCCGCCCATTCCTGGGCGTGGAGCAACAGTCCATCTCCTCCTAAGTACCCTGCGTTTGGAGCACAATTTCCATTGCCATCTTGCCACGCTGTCTCCTCCTGCGCGGGAGCGGCAATGCCTCGATGTCAATCGCCTCCTCCGAGGCCTCCTTCGTCCCCTCCGCCTCCGAGCCCACCGGCCCCTTCGGGTTTAAGTCTTCCCATAGCTGCCCCGCCGGTTGGAAATAGTGGTCGGGTTGATATTAAGGACCTTAGGCCTGAGGCTGTGGGTAAACATGTAAGTTCCCTACCGTCCCTAGAGGCCTACAACCCTAACAACCCCACCGCGCTTGGAGATTGGATCGCAGTGGTCCAGCCGATGATTTCTTCACTGTCAGACACCGGAAGTGTCTGGTGGGGTTATACATACCAGGCGGCCAACCAGGCCTATGTGAGGTGGTTGTCAACCTCCCCGCTAGAAAGGCTGTCGATCCAGAAGGAGTTTGATCAAGTAAACTTGGTGCAGCCCCAGCATGCCTTGCTGGAACAGCGATGTGTGACCTTGATTCTTCAGGCGATCCCGGATGCTGTGAGGGTTGACATTGTCGCCTCACGCCACCTGAGTGTGGCAGGAATGATCTTCCGTCTGATGACGGTGTTTCAGCCTGGGGGAGCGTCAGAACGATCAACCATGTTGCGTTTTTGGTGACGCCGAAGGCGGCTTCCACCTTGTCGGAGGCTGCAAAGCTGCTTAGGCAGTGGACCCAATGGCGTATGCAAGCAACTGCATGCAGCAGAGCCTGACACTACGCTTTTGGTGAAGGGTCTAGATGTTCTGACAGGAAGGGTGTTGCAAAAGCACTCAGCGAGCCTCTTCCGGCTTGCCACTTTCCGCGAGCGGCTTGGGGTTGACTACCAGCCGACCTCCGACGCTGTGTCGGAGTTGTGTCGAATGATGCAGGCGGAGGTGGAGCATCTGATGCACTCCACAGATGACAATCCTGTGAAGGATGAGGTTCCGGGCCGAGGGGATGATGCTAAGAAGCAGCGCTTGCAGCGCTTGCAGACGTCTCCGAGTACCCCGAAGGCCAAGACTTCTCCCGCGGGACCCAAGACGCCGGGTGCAGGCATGAAGCCTTGCAGAAGCTGGCTAACAGCTGGCGGTTGCGCGTATGGGTCGTCCTGTCAGTTTTTCCATGACCAGGATGAGGAAAAGATGCGGGGCCGATGCTTCAGTTGCAGTGCCGAAGATCACTGGGCAGACTCATGCCCGGTGAAAGCCAGGTTGAAGGCGGAGGCTAAGGCCGCCAATGAGGAGTCCCCTTCCACTAGCCCTAAGCCACCGAAGGCCCCTGCCGATTCCTCCCCTAAGGGTAAGACTAAAGGGAAGGCTAAGGAAGGGAAGGGTAAGGAAGGTAAGCCTGGGGGTAAACCTAAGGTTGCCACCGTAGACCCTCAAACCGCGCCTGCCGGAACCGCGAATGACCAGGCAGAGGCTGCAGCTCTGCTAAGGTCGATAAAGACCAAGGCCCTGCGGCTTAGTGCTGTGAGCAACCCGACGGGCTACGGCTTGTTGGACAGCGGAGCTTCCGCTTCACTCCGCCAGGCCTCACCTCAGGAGATCCAGGAGTCCCGCCCGGTGAGCGTGTCTCTCGCCGTTGGCGAAGCTGTGATGCATGTGAACTCCGCCGGAACTCTGTTGGTAAGGGAGTCTGTGCAGCCAATCTTGCCAATGCACGCGTTGCCGCTTTTGGGCTGTGAGATCAACTGGACTGATCGGGGCATTCATGTGCGGCATCCAGGTCTCGGGATTCTCCCGGTGAGACTTAAGGATGGCACCCCTGAGTTGCCAGAGTTTCTGGTGCTTCGCCTGATTGGCGAGTACGAGCGCTTCCTTTTGCGCCGTGAGACCTCAAGGGCCGTGTCGCAGCAGCTTTGGCAGCGATCAGTTGGCCAGGAGG